CTGCAAGTATTGCTCTAAATCCAACTGAGTATTTCGTTTGTCGTTAGATGTGTCGATCTTGAATAATTACAATATACCGCCATTTCTAACACGCTTCGCTAAAAGTTTAAAGGCGCCGACTTTATCCTGCGATAAAAGGTACATTTTGAGTTACGTCAAAATGGCCTGACGTCAGGGCAGTCACAAAGTTGTCCAAGGCGGGCGTTGGTGTTCAAGGAAGTATGTACGAGGGCTGGTCAAAAAGCTCTAAGCCTGATTAACTTTCAACTGTGGACCATAACAAATAGAACTAGTCAATGTAGTACATTGTTTGAGAAGTTCATTGCTAGTGTATTTGGTCTGTTGAGGCCGTTTGTATATTAGTGACAGCCAGATGAACGTCATATGGGTCCTTTGGGTATAAAGGGGCAACATCACACCCCATTCACGTGGGTTACGGTATCGTTTAGTGCAACCATTCAGTTAGCACTGTATTTCAAGGCTTGCAGTCACTTTAGTCCACTAACATTGGTTAAAGTTGAACATGAACTCATAACCGACAGGGACACTTAACGTCAGCTGTGACAGGAAGAGCACGCACCCTCGTGCTTTAACTATATGACAAAACTACGAGTACTTCATTACACTACATATGGAGTAGAGCAATCCTTACTTCTTAAGCAAAGTGCGCACATAGTTACTGTTAGACCCGTGAAGATCCGGGGTAGAATAGGTCTTCAGCAACCGTCTTCAGCAACCCATGCTTGCCGTAAGAGGCGACTGACGGGATCGGGTGGTCAGGCTCACTGTCATGGTTGATGCATATCATGGTATCCCGTAGATCGATGCTGATGATGTCAATCACTGGATTGTCTGGTCAGACTCGATTATTTACAGACCGCCGTCATATAGCTGGAACATTGCCGCTTTAAGCAACAACAAACAAACAAACAAACAAAGCTACTATAAGTGTAACGTTGTCTATGACCAGGCGGCAATGTAAAATATATCGCTGTTCGCAGTCATTGTAACAGGACTGAATTAGTCAGGAACATTTGTCTTCCCGATTTCACTGTGTACTCTAAAAGAAAGAAATATTTCAACTCACCAGGTGTCTCTATTAAAGACGTATTCTGCGCAAAAAAAGACACCTCGGTGCTGCATTTCCTAATTGTTGTATTATTCATCAATCATCCCGTCTCTACTAAGGCCATGGTTGTAGTTTTCTAAAAAGGATTCTTGAAGAAATGGTGCCACTTTGTCTCTTTAAAAATACCTATGTAGTATGTGTACTCCAAACCTGCCAGAAAAGGACATATATATAATCAGCAGCACAACCAAAATATACTCCCTTGACTCTCGTTAGCGAGTTCTTGCCTCTTTTGTCAAATTGTTAAAAAAGTAAACCCTTTCAGCAATTAAACCTTTCAAAACTTTGATTGCATTGTGCTTTTAATTTCACTACATGGCGGAAAATATGGGGACATCATATTCCCGGCTGATTCAAAATGGACATAATCCTTAATTAAACACTATGTTTCAGTGCTGACTCATTCTACAAACTCTTTAAAACGTTTGAGGAATAAGGATAAACGTTTACCTGTTGTGATACATTAATGTGTTGTAATGGATATGGGAAAACGATCCTACCTATATGTGTAGGGGAGCCCAACAAACATCCACACCATGTGTTATTTACGTTTGCCGGTGTCTCCTTAGGAAGTCAAATTTAGCTTTATTCAGATATTGTTGAATTGTTCAAACTGTTCACGACGGTGTTAGGATGTTCACAAAGGCCATGTAACGACTACTGGCCTTATGAAATGCACAGACATATGATAACTTCATCTTAATCATAAACCTATGATGGCCTAAGAGTGAGTGAGTTGTGTTTAACGCCGCTTTTAACAGTATTCCAATTATATCACAGCGTGTCAGCTTAATGTCGGAGGAGTGTGAAGCCCATTTCTGGTGTCCCCCGCCGTGATATTGCTGGAATAGTGCTAAAAGCGACGTAAAACCATACTCACTCACTAATGTCGGAATAAAGCCTGAAATTATGCAGGACCAAGGCGTTTACCACTTCGGTGAAGCCCACGAGCACGGGTATGGTGCTGACAAACCTAGAAACATAATCGGGACGAACCGGGATTCGAACCCGCAATCATAGGTTTCTGGCTTACCCAAGGGACGCAACTCTGCACAGCGAATCGCGGCGCCTTAGACGACTGGGCCACCCGTGCCCCCCTGATGGCCTAAGAAGCAACTTAATGGTGGTCAGGCAAGGTGATTTGGTTGATTGCGTGTCATGACCATGGGGATCGTCGCTCATATCATTGTCTCTTCCAGATTTGATTATTTACTAATAAAACTAGAATATTGATTAGTGCGGCGACAAGCACCTTTATTCACTCTGACACTCTGTACTTCCTGGGAGAACTGTATATCACAACTAGGGTTTCTGGGCGACCATTAGATTACGTGTGTCAATGGTACTTGTACAAATCAGAAATGATTTTCTTCAAATATGTGTTCCATATATCATCGAATGTGATGGGCGTTAAAGAAACACACATAAGATATAAATGTTTACATCAGTGAGTGTTGAAGAATTTCCTTCTCTACAAACAGGTAACTGCTGATATTAATGGCATATACTTATTCAAGTGAATAGAGCAATTTGTTCAAATGAGCCTATGCAGGAATGTAAATATTTAGAATATTCTACATCTTCTACATGAAATATTTTGATTCCAAATTGAAAAAAACAATTCATGTTTGGGTTCAAATCATCGGTAAAATGTAACATATTTTAAACATTGTCCACTGTCACTCTCCACTTTTTCCCGCCGAACGAAAATCAGTCAGTGTATCACGTTCAAATTTTGACAAGAGTTATAGATCTCAGTTGTTATGAATTGTTTTAAATCATCTAAAAACAAACAGTTAGATATTATTTTTGTGTCCGAAATTCACAAGCTTAAAGTGATGTGACACTCTCACGGGTGCGCCGTTTCCCGGACAATTTTGGTTGTGTGTGTTTCCAGGGGTAATGTATTGTGTTTTCACCAGTAACTTCCCTTGTGACATACACGAAAACGATAAGCAGTATTATCAAACTGACATCAGACTTGAACACGTGTCCTGAATGCTGAATGTCTGCTGTCCGTTCAAATCAAGGATTAAAATCATTTTATAATAACATCCCTTACTTTCGTCCTTGATTTTGTACGCTATAAGTCAGAGAAATGAAATTTTACACACTTACATTACTGGTCATGATCTCAAATGAGTTCGAAAATTGGTGTTGTAATTTCATTTTTGACAGAGTTATGGCCCTTGCCCCGTCCTTTTCAACTTAGTACATACTGCGTGAAAGAGGGACAGGTTTTCTCAGAAACTACTGGGGCGCCGCGATTCACTGTGCAGAGTTGCGTCCCTTGGGCACGCCAGAAACCTATGATTGTGGGTTCGAATCCCGGTTCGCCCCGATTATGTTTCTAGGTTTGTCAGCACCATACCCGTGCTCGTGGGTTTCACCGAAGTGGTAAACGTCTGGGACCTGCATCACTTCGGGCTTTCCTCCCACATTAAGCTGACACGCCGCGATATAACTGGAATACTGTTAAAAGCGGCGTTAAACCCAACTCACTCACTCACTCACTCAGAAACTACTGAAATTACATGAATTAAAGGTTGCATGCTTATCTAAGAGATACTTGTCAAGACTGAGTTCGAAAATTGGACCCGTCAATTATTTTTGTACAGAGTTACGGCCCTTTTTCTCAGAAACAACTGAAAGCATGCAAGCGCATCTAGGAGATACTAACCTAACTAACTTAGACATCTACATCTACGATTTTAATATGTTGTGTCTGGACCAGATAAGACAAAGTATTGTTAAGTGTCCACCGTCCTCGGACAGACCATGTGTTTTGAAAATGGGGACAGGTGAGTGTTTGTTTGTTTATTTCTTTGTTTGTTGTTTAACGCCGCACTCAGCAATATTCAAGCTATATGACGGCGGTGTGTAAATAATCGAGTCTGGACCAGAAAATCCAGTGATTGACACCATGAGCATCGCTCATGCCATTAGGATACGGTGACATGCATCAACAAAGTCAGCGAGCCTGACCACCCGATCCCGTTAGTCGCCTCTTACGACAAGCATAGTCGCCTTTTATGGCAAGCATGGGTTGCTGAAGATCTATTTTACCCCGGATCTTCAGTGAGTTGTGTTTAACGTTATGTCAATTGTACAACACCGTCTCAGCATGGGCGCCTGAAGTGAGGCAGGGCGTTGATCCTAGCCGCATGAATGGAACCAATAAACGCGTGCACGGACATGGTGCTGACAAATCAGTCATCATAATTGGACTGAACCTTGGATTCGAACCCAGTGGGATGAGTTCCAGGAACCGACTCCGTTCATGTTCCCGAGGCAAAGGCGTTAACTAACTGTAAAAGTCCATTTTCCACCCTTGCCGAACTAGACTGGAATTCCTAAGCTCGATCGTAGCGCACACCAGTGGCTATTACGAGTGATGTCCCTTCTATGTCCCTCCTATTGACCAATCAGATTCAATCTCGCACTTCACTTGCATTTGCTTCAAACAAAATGGCGGCGCACAGTCAAGACGATCTGACGGATAATCAAAATTTCTGTTGTAATGTAACGGATGTTTGCGCGCGAAGTGCATCAAATCACTTGAGCACCTTGATTAAAAACATGAAAAGATTCGCCAAATATCTGTCGACGCCCAATTCACGGTACACATGCTTTGCAAATCCTGCAGTCGACCGAAACCTGCACTTTGAAATCCATGTTGTTTACGAACCGCATGTCTAGTTCGTTACCCGATTTTGATTGCACTATGCAAAGACTCGTTAGTCCAGCCAAAATGTAACTCCGGAATTCCAGCCTAGTTCGGCAAGGGTGGAAACTGGACTTTTATAGTCAATAAACAACCTTGACTCGGGAAGATGACTCCGGTTGTGTCCACACAGGGTAGAAGATTGGGGAGATTTTTATATGTTTATTGTGTAACAAATTCAACAACTGCACAGAGGACCCTTCGCAACACATCCATGACTTACACATTTACAGACACAACGACAACGTGACCTGAACGTCTGATAACTGTAGAAGCGATAACGTTTGATAACTGTAGAAGCGATAACGTTTGATAACTGTGGAAGCGATAACGTTTGGTAACTGCAGAAGCGTTACATTAGGTTCAGTTGATCCCACATTCAATTGTGATTCAATCTACTCGGTAGCTCTTCATTACTACGCATAGCGATTTTATCATAATTATTTATGGAAATAGAAAGATACATGATTTAAGTTAATCATTAGAACAATCTATTTGGAAATGTTGCCATGGTTACAATGCAGGAGAAGTGCCAGCCCTCTCATGTACAGTAAGCTGTGTCAATGACGGGGCCCATCATCACAGAGTGGGAGAGTCAAAAGGCCCAGCAACATCGTCGACGACGGCCTACAGCCACAGGAAGTACACACACGGAGTTGCCATACACAATGAGTTGTCATATGTACATGAATGAGAATGAATGTCATGGTCACGAGACGCACCTACAGGAGCATTGCGATCACAAGGACCAGGAAGGTGAACAGCATGCTGGGAACAGTCAGCTGAAACGAAAGGTGAAGTATATAGAACTAGTTCCTTTGATTTCATATCTTACAATATCTTCCTCTCACAGTCTTACACCTTGAGGGTAGTGGGGTAGCCTAGTGGTTAAAGCGTTCGCTGATCACACCAAAGACCCGTGTTCGATTCCCCACATAAGTACAATGTGTGACGGTCATTTCAGTTCCTATATATCTAAGGGCGGTTGTGTAGACTCGTGGTTAAAGTGTTCGCTCGTCACGCTGGTGGTCCGTGTTCGATTCCCCACATAGGTACAATGTGTGAAGGTCATTTCAGTTCCTATATATCTTAAGTGCGGTTGGGTAGACTCGTGGTTAAAGTGTTCGCTCGTCACACTGAAGGTCCGTGTTCGATTCTCTACACAAGTACGTTGTGTGAAACCCATTTCACATGTCGCCGCCGAAATGATTCTTGAATATGCTTAAAGTGGTGTAAAACCGTACTCACTCACTCACACATCTACTCACTCGCTGAAAATAATAATTACAAACGTTCTCAAAATGTCACTAGGGTGAAAACTTAAGGTCGAAACACAACTATGATACCCTTATCAAAATATATCACCATCGAATAACCATTTCTTGTTTGTTTCATTTTGTAGCCACCATCAAACATGAGTATATACTTTCTTTTGCCGGTCAGTTTTGGACAATTACAAACTTATCGACTGTTTCTGCCTCAAATCTTCACCTTACAATCACGAGGGTGCACAGGTGGCCCATTTGTCCCCACAATTCGCTGTGCAGAGCTGCTTATGCACAAACCTAGATTGTGAGCTCGAATTATGTTTCAAGGTTTGTCAACACCTTACCCGTGTTCGTGGTTTTAACTAAAGTCACTAAACGTCTGAGGCCTGCATCACTTCTTCGGTTCCTCCTATATGAAGGCGACACGCTGTGTGTTATTTCAGTTATATCACAGCGCGTCCGCTTAATGTGAGGAGGACTCAGACGTTCACCAATTTCGTGAAACCTACGAGCACGGGTATGGTGCTGACAAACCTAGAAACATAAGTTTCCTGGCGTGCCCTAGGGACGCAACTCTGCACAGCGAATTGCGGCGCCTTTGACGACTGGACCGCCCGTGCCCTCTGAAACAGTCGACCAGACGCTGAGCAGCAGCGTGCACATAATCGGTCATAATTGTAAACAATACATCGACCAAACCGTGACAAGCTGTGTTAGGCTATGTAGGTGTTCCTACCACGCCTGAGCCGGACGGGGGTCTAGCTGTTGTTGAAGTCGCCGGTTGAGACGCTGGTGAAGTCGCTGTTGGAGACGCCGGTGAAGTGTCTGGACCGCTACTTGCATCGGACGCAGTGGACGACTCCGGCGCTGAAGATGATGTCTTGAGAGTTGAAGCTGCTGGTGAAGCTGATGTTGCGGAAGAAGAAGATGAGCCGTCTGATGTGGTGTCACTTGAGTCCGTTGTAGCAGCATTTGAATGACCTATTATGGACGATAGACGCGAGACATACAGTTCGGTTGGGATGGGAGTTTTTTTCAAAAGAAAATTGGCATGTAGATTCTAATGTATTTTTATTCCAAAAACCTTTACAAAAAACGTGTTAATGGGCCTGAAATGGCGTTTCGTTCAATTAATTTTTTAAAATTAAATGATATTTTATGTATGATAGATGGGAAATGCATTTATTTGCATGTTTTAAAAATGATTCATGAAGGACAGTCACATCCTTTCATATGAATCCTGTTACTTTTTACTACACGAAAATAAATATTTTCATAAGAATAAGAACTCTCTGCTCAAAGCACAGACCGGCGATTTCGACTATATCATAAGGATATGTGTATGAATCACTGTCTACCGTAAGGTTCGTAAACAAAAGTGTGAGACCTAAAAGTACTGAATAAATTAGTTGAAAATAAATTGAATGAATCACTATCGTAGGATTCGGTGGGTGGGTGGGTGAGTTCGGTTTTACGCCGCTTTTAGCAATATTCCAGCAATATCACGACGGGGGACACCAGAAATGGGCTTCACACATTGTACCCATGTCGGGAATCGAACCCGGGTCTTCGGCGTGACGAGCTAACGCTTTAACCACTAGGCTACCCGACCGCCCCTCGTAGGATTCGGAAATGTGAACGATTTATAACAATTCAACGAGAATCAGGCCCGAACTGCAGACGTATTTTCAACTTTATCTGCAACAAAACATATCTAGTACGTCCATTTTTTGTAAAGTCCATGTGTGAACTATATGACTAGCTTATGTGTGTAAAGTGTGTGTAACGCGTGTGTGTGCATTGGCCGATCGACGCCCTTGGTGTGTGTGTGTGTGTGTGTGTGTGTGTGTGTCTGTCTGTCTGTCTGTGTCTATGTGTCATGTGTGACAAACGAATGTGTGTAGTTTGTGAATTACCCATGTGTGTAATGTGTTACAAACGAATGTGTGTAGTTTGTGAATTACCCATGTGTGTAATGTGTGACAAACGAATGTGTGTAGTTTGTGAATTACCCATGTGTGTAATGTGTTACAAACGAATGTTTGTAGTCTGTGAATTACCCATGTGTGTAATGTGTGACAAACGAATGTGTGTAGTTTGTGAATTACCCATGTGTGTAATGTGTTACAAACGAATGTGTGTAGTTTGTGAATTACCCATGTGTGTAATGTGTCACAAACGAATGTGTGTAGTTTGTGAATTACCCATGTGTGTAATGTGTTACAAACGAATGTGTGTAGTTTGTGAATTACCCATGTGTGTAATGTGTGACAAACGAATGTGTGTAGTTTGTGAATTACCCATGTGTGTAATGTGTTACAAACGAATGTTTGTAGTCTGTGAATTACCCATGTGTGTAATGTGTGACAAACGAATGTGTGTAGTTTGTGAATTACCCATGTGTGTATTGTGTTACAAACGAATGTGTGTAGTTTGTGAATTACCCATGTGTGTAATGTGTGACAAACGAATGTGTGTAGTTTGTGAATTACCCATGTGTGTAATGTGTTACAAACGAATGTGTGTAGTTTGTGAATTACCCATGTGTGTAATGTGTGACAAACGAATGTGTGTAGTTTGTGAATTACCCATGTGTGTAATGTGTTACAAACGAATGTGTGTAGTTTGTGAATTACCCATGTGTGTAATGAGTGACAAACGAATGTGTGTAGTTTGTGAATTACCCATGTGTGTAATGTGTGACATACGAATGTGTGTAGTTTGTGAATTACCCATGTGTGTAATGTGTGACAAACGAATGTGTGTAGTTTGTGAATTACCCATGTGTGTAATGTGTGACATACGAATGTGTGTAGTTTGTGAATTACCCATGTGTGTAATGTGTGACAAACGAATGTGTGTAGTTTGTGAATTACCCATGTGTGTAATGTGTGACATACGAATGTGTGTAGTTTGTGAATTACCCATGTGTGTAATGTGTGACATACGAATGTGTGTAGTTTGTGAATTACCCATGTGTGTAATGTGTGACAAACGAATGTGTGTAGTTTGTGAATTACCCATGAGTGTAATGAGTGACAAACGAATGTGTGTAGTTTGTGAATTACCAATGTGTGTAATGTGTGACAAACGAATGTGTGTAGTTTGTGAATTACCCATGAGTGTAATGTGTGACAAACGAATGTGTGTAGTTTGTGAATTACCCATGTGTGTAATGTGTGACATACGAATGTGTGTAGTTTGTGAATTACCCATGTGTGTAATGTGTGACAAACGAATGTGTGTAGTTTGTGAATTACCCATGAGTGTAATGTGTGACAAACGAATGTGTGTAGTTTGTGAATTACCCATGTGTGTAATGTGTGACAAACGAACGTGTGTAGTTTGTGAATTACCCATGAGTGTAATGTGTGACAAACGAATGTGTGTAGTTTGTGAATTACCCATGTGTGTAATGTGTGACATACGAATGTGTGTAGTTTGTGAATTACCCATGAGTGTAATGTGTGACTGATCAGTGTGTGTAATGTGTGACTCATGTGTATGTGTAATATGTGACTAACCAATGTGTGTAACATGCGATATGCTCATGTCTGTGTAATGTGAGACTACCATAGCGTGTATTGTGTGAGTTACTAAAGTGTGTTTTTTATTACTTACATATGTGTGCGTGTGTGTTCGCATTGTCGTGTGTAGTGTGCGTCCAGTGCGAGCATCTATTCATCTATTAATCTATTCACCTGGCGAGTGCGCGTGCCTGTCATCAGCAGCGTCTGTCAAACCCTCTACTCACCTACAACAGCCAATGCCACCAAGGCCAGCGCCAGAGATGCATAAAGGAACTTCATGGTGGCTGTGGTGTACGGAATCTGTGGACAACAAAATGTCTGTGACCAAAACGAATTGCCGCATAGCACATTAATAGTCATTAATCGTTCCCGATAACTAAAATCTTTAATGGACCGACTATTTCATATTTTTGGAAAAGCCTTGTTTTGGGGTTTTTTTTTGTTGAATAATTTGTTCGAGAGAAAAAAAATTAAATGCATTGTCGTCAAATTTGTGATTTATATAATGCGCCAAACCCCAAGGTTATGCTCATTATTATTACCAGTGGATCAATGCGCACTCGATTTTCATTCTCAGCCTCCTGGGGTGTATACAGCCCAAGCTGCGTTTGAACGTTAGCAGTCACTATCCCCTCCTATCGGGCACCCATTCACTGCAGGGTGAAGAGAGGAGTATTTCGAACCAAGTCACTTCCCTAAGGAGACTGTTGCATGTGCTTCAATGTGGGGCAGGACCGAAGTCCAAGAAACTCTCAGGAGTCAAGCTGTCAAACACGGTCACCCATCCAACTACTCGTTCCTTAACTTCACCAGATTTCTCATTAGATCTGTTTGTTTGTTTGTTTAACAAACAAATCTGAGCAATATTCCAGCTATAGGGCGGCGGTCTGTAAATAATCGAGTCTGGACCAGACAATCCGGTGATTGACATCATGAGCATCGATCCACGCAATTGGAATACGATGACATGCATAAACGTCAGCGAGCCTAACCACCCGATCGCGTTAGTAGCCTCTTACTTGAGTGAGTGAGTTGAGTTTAACGCCGCTTTTAACAGTATTCCAGTTATATCGCGGCGTGTCAGCTTAGTGTGGGAGGAAGGCCCGAGGTTATACAGGTCTCAGTCGTTTATCACTTCGGTGAAACCTACGATCACGAAACCTAGAAACATAATCGGGGCGAACCGGGATTCGAACTCACAATAATAGGTTTCTGGCGTGCCCAAGGGACGCAACTCTGCACATCCTTCGACGACTGGGCCACCCGTGCCCCCCGTCTATTACGACAAGCCTAGTCGCCTCTTACAACAAGCATAAGACCTATTTTACCCCGGATCTTCACGGGTGTTGTCATTGGAATAGCCACAAATCACAATGAAAGGACAAGACGCGATCACATGACACCTCACAAGACTGGATCAGATTGTGATCAGACCTGTGACATCAGTAATATAAGATATACAGTAGTAAGATATCAGTAGGACATTGTCGAGACGTCCACGTGATTGCTACAACATTATATAATTAAATGCAGCCACAAATCCAGCGATCGAATGTTCACAATTGATGTGTAAAAAGAATATATCCTATGCTCTCTCGTACAGTGCTCCGCTTCCGCCGAGAACGAGTGAGTGAGTCAAGGTAATAGTGTACGTCGTCAACAACATTCAACCCGTCTCTCTCCCTGTATAAAAGACGTCCCTACCTTCTTCGGCTGTTGACTGGGCGGTGGTGGTGGGAAAGGATGATATGAGAGAAGTACGCTGCTTATATATCTGCTCCTTGATAAGATAGGCGTTGTGTATTAGCCTGATAGTGTGTTGCAACCTGAACACTTTGTACAGTCACGAGTTGTGCGTCATACACCGCTACATCAGCACAGCATGATCAAGAGTGACATAAACAATCCTGGCAATCTGTCAGATAGACGACATCGTGGTTTGATACCTGAGTTGCAGTCTTGCTTTATTCTTCTGTTCATTAAATCTAAAATTCTGTAAGTTGAAAGTGGGCTGTTGTGATCTGGTTAACTGCTACCTCACTCCATGTAAAGAGTTAGTTATCATAAGGACCCACAGGAACTTCCTTATTAAAGAAACCTAAATTGCCGGGCAAAAGAAAGTGTACACCCATGTTGGATGGTGGCTAAAAATGAATCAAACAAGTTGTTAGATGGTGGTATTTGATACGGGTATCATGGTTTGGATCCTAAAGTTGCTGTGTTTCGGCTGCTGTTTTCAGTCTAGCAACTTTTTAATAACCTTCAATAATATTTTGATCAAATCCAGTTTATGTTAATAGCATTATCGGTGGGGTTCGTATGATTCAAAAATAGGATGTGTTCTTTTCGACACTTGTATATTTCGGCGACCCATAACAATTATGAATTCAAATGGAAGACTCAATTGTGTCAAAATATAGTTTTCAGGAAAACGTTTTTCTGTTTAAAAATAAGCAAGTCATTTTACCTAGGCCTATCTTCTTAAGATGCGTTGACGACGACGGTACAGACGTGGGAGAAAATATATCTTGAATCCATTCTTGTCCAGTAGTTCAAAAATTCGCTTTTCATTTAGCTATATATGGACGTCCTAAACAAAGGTTTTGAATCACATCGTGACACCAGAAGCTAATATTACCCATAAGCATAGGATAAGCGTGTGAAGTAACTTTCCGATATTTGCACACGTGCATTTTAGCGATTCTCAATGCTGATTGGTCAAATGAAGCCATGAAACGTCACAGTTTTTTTCATTACTCCACAAATTAAATACATGACGACATCTGGACAATAGACTGCCTTTAGTGATGTGTAACTGTAAGGTTGACATTTCGTACGTTTTTCTTCATGTTCTCTATTAAAGTGATGCACGTATAGAATATCCTACTCGGAACTCAGAATTACGGTGTATCTGTCCCTCATGATTGAATGCTGCAACACCATTCCTTCACACGGGACCGACAATCCGTTATTCCTCGTGGTTCTTTGGTTTTCTCTAATTACTTCACGTGAAGTCAAGAACACACTGCATTAATGTCTTTTTTCTATGTCTGCGTTGAACAGACCACGGCCATGCCTAAACATTGATCTCAGCCAAGTGTGAATATACAATGCCTATTAGTAATTGATCAAATGTTACAAATGTTATATTTGGGGTTACGCTTTCTTCGTAAAATACAAATTGAGCCCCATCCGGGGTTCGAACCCACACTCTCAGAGTGAGGCACCTAATCGCTATCATGGATGGGGGCTCAACCTAAAACAGTACTAGACTTGTACTTTACTAAGGGGAGTAATCCCAAATACTTTTTCTTACTTAGCGAAGTATATATAAAAATGTTATAGAAGTAATAACTGGTTACGGACAACAGGATGTAGGTCCAGCTCAAGATAGTTCTCGACCCGTGAAGATCCGGGGTAGAACAGGTCTTCAGCAACCCATGCTTGTCGTAAATGGCGACTATGCTTGTCGTAAGAGGCGATTAACGGGATCGGGTGGTCAGGCTAGCTGACTTGGTTAATGCATGTCATCGTGTCCCAATTGCGTGATGTCAATTACTGGATTGTGTGGTCCAGACTCGATTATTTATGAACCGCCATCATAAAGCTGGAATATTGCTTAGTGCGACGTTAAACAACAACTGATCTTATGACAAATCTGGTGAAGTTAAGGAAACGGTAGCTGGATGGGTGACCGTGTTTGACAGCTTGACTCCTGAGAGTTTCTTGGACTTCGGTCCTGCCCCACATTGAAGCACATGCAACAGTCTCCTTAGGGAAGTGACTTGGTTCGAAATAGTCCTCTCTTCACCCTGCAGTGAATGGGTGCCCGATAGGAGGGGATAGTGGCTGCTAACGTTCAAACGCAGCTTGGGCTGTATACACCCCAGGAGGCTGAGAATGAAAATCGAGTGCGCATTGATCCACTGACTGCGGTAATAATAATGAGCACTACCTTGATTGGGGTTTGTCGCATTATATTTCATTTTTTTCTCTCGAACAATTTATTTAACAAAACACAAACCCAGGCTTTTCCAAAAACATGAAATAAAAACAACAAACAAACAATCAAGATAGTTTTCACACAATCTGAGCAGGCTTGTCTGACAGTATCAGCATGGGTACGCTAGCAGTGCGTCTGTGTCAGAGGGCACACATGGAGAACTCCGTGGTTCTGTTTGTGATAGCTGCATGCTCTACATGTACAAGGCCGCATGTATTTTAGCTATCGCTGAGAAAAGTGCATTTCCTTCCGAATACGAAGACTGTAGCGTCTGGGTCAGGGTTACTTAACCATGCAAATAGGTTTGTCCAGAAACAGAAGACATAAAGCTGCTGTTTAGCTTCATGTTGGGCCAAGCCAAAAGAGCAGTAACATTGTAATTGTTTTAGCCTAACTAGATGTTGCTAAATGTATAACATGATGCTATAGTCCATGTATTCTAAGCTTACAGGCTGTGCCCGAACACCAACAGGTCCTAATTCAACTTTAAAGTGTAATATTGGGTCAGGCCAGGTCAGGGTATGGTGTGACGTAAAAGGGTAGCCTGGACACCTCAGTGAGACCTCAGCGAGACCTCGCTATCTATATCTGTACACTTTCGTCTGCAATCATCGGGGTCATACATCTGTGCATTCTATCAATAGTCAGTAATGTCATTCTAGGTTAGCGTATTAAATGCCCTTCAGACTTTGAGGACATAGACGGCCCAGTCACCTACCTCACTCACTCACTGAATCAAACACAGATACACATACAAACGCGCGCGCGCACGCACGCACGCACGCACGCACGCACGCACGCACGCACAAAAGTTGAGTAATGTACACGGGCAACGTATTACCCTATAAGCTGTTCATAGTAAATATACTTCCCGCGTTCTTCCTCACTTACAACTTGTCCGTCATAAATCTAATGCGTCATAACATATCACACCGTAGTTGTTATGTCAATGTGTCACTCATACCCAAAATGTCATATATTAAAACGTCACACATATGTTGTCACATTTACGTCATATGATGAATGCGTCACACAGTTGATAGCGTGTGTGATTTTTTGGCGCAAGGCTATATTTCAGTTATATCACGTTAGCCTAATGTTGGAGAAACGCCCAACGTGAGATATCTTTTGGGAGACCAACGAGTATGATATGGCGCTGAAAGACAATGGAGCCTCTCGGATTCTAAGGACTAAGGATACTGACACGACTAAGGGGGGAAACTCTGCACAACGAAGTGAAGCAGCGTACACGACTGGGCCACGATGTCCCTCAAGTCAGCATCACTCATTATATACGGAATCACTCGGAATATATGCCGTGCACCTGTTTCCGAGTGCTTGGACGCCTCATAGCGGACACAGTATATATCTGTGTGTGCGAATTTGATGTATATTTCAGTCTTTCCTTCGGTATGTAAATTCGATAAATAACATACACATTTACCCTTTTGGCAATATCTTATCTTTTTGCTGATTGGTAGGCCTGATCTAGGACCATTGATAATACATAAACACGCTTTACTTTGGTCTCATAATTGATTCTACGCTTTATTAATGTATGTTTCTCATTTGATGAGAAAACACGACTATATGTACTAGTCTCTTTGTTGTCCGACATTTATTGGTGTCTAATACATAGCTACGAATCTCTTATGTAGTTAATGGAGAGGCATTAACTCCCGTGTACATATATACATTGAAGACTCCCACATCGTTTAACATTCAGATTTAAAAACACCATAATATTTCGATTGAAATATGCTATTTAGTTAATAGCTATGAACCAGCAAATACGAACGAGTCAAGTTTTTCCCTGCTGTTGAATTCAATAGGTTGTAACAGTTACCGGGACAGGGTAAACTCGACTCGACCATGTGGACAGGGAGTGATTATGGTTTTACGCCGCTTTATCACAAAATAATATCACGGTTGGTGCACACCTCACCAACCTCACCAGCCCCACCAACCTCTCCCACCTCTACAGCCTCTCCCACCTCACCAGCCTCACCCACCTCACCAGCCCCACCCACCTCTCCCACCTCACCCACTTTTGTCGGTTTGCAGCCAGTTGCGAAATCTCCCATGCATGATATATTCATTCTTAAGGAAAGGCTCAAAGATATTCCAAAGCTGTTTTGCTGTAATCTCGCTGTTTCAAATGGTTTCATAATCTTACGATAAGGAAGTGCCCGCTCTTAATGTTACCGTCAACGTCACGAATTATTGTTGTTATTGTTTGTTTATGTCGGTGAATTATGAAAAGCATCGCCCATGAATATTAATGAACGATTCACAACGTCTTCTCGTGAACTGTGTGAGACTTTGTAATCCAGATGGCACGATCAGATACTATATATATTTATATATACCTTTGCTTTTTATCACAAGATCACCAACAAACAAAAATTTAAAAAACAATTCTTACTACATATATTTCTCTGCTTTGGACGAGGTTGATCGACCAACACATAATCACTTTGTGAATATTTGGACCCAACGAGATCCGCCATGTGATCAATTCTGTACCTTGTGAAAACCAGTTTATGTACCTAAAAGTGGTTTGACTTGATTCATTCTAAATGTCGTCCAGCCTATAAGAGTTGGTCAAATGCCTATGTTCGGAAACCAGTGGATGTATTTTAGGTTGGCTTAAAAGGTAGAAAATAATTGAGCTTCACTCACCTTGTTGCAATGAAATGTGTGAGACCGCGCACCTGCAAGATATCTCCTGTAGATGTCTCACCACGCAGATAGACGGCGCTGATTGCTGGTGGTGACGTCACCAGAAGATAAGATAACGCCAAACTGTCACCAAATAATATTCCATTAACACACGTTGTCAGGGTGACAGAGAAATAGAAATCAAGCAATTCCAATGTTGCTGACAATTTATTACTGTAGGGTTTTGAAAGCAAAGAGAAAGGTGACTCGACAAGTGGTTATTTAAAGCACGTGACTGATTTAAAGGAGATACGCCTTGGTCACACAGTTGGTGTGGCATCACGGTAGTAAAATTACTTGTGCATTTTGGAAACTTAAAGAACATTAGCAGATACACTGTCATAAACAACTTGATCTGTAAGGGTTGGTATTTACTGCATGTCAAGAGAGAAAGATACCGTAAGGTGGTAAGGTGGGGGGAAATTGAGTGAGTATTGCACTTGTATAGGGACGTGCTTGTACCAGTCCGGACTACTGCCGGTTTCATAGTGCTAGCCCACTGAGACCCATTCCTGTTTTATCCTATGAATGCCGAGCGTCAGACAGGGTGACAACAAGAACCATCGTCTTTTGGTATGACGCGGCCGGGAATCAAACTCTGGACCTTCCGGTCTGCGGGCACGCGCTGCATCCACTAAGCCACGGAGGCGGTCGTAGCTTCAAGAAACAACGCGTAGAGTGTGTAATGCTGGGTCATGAAGGTAGTGGCCGCGTAAAGAACAAGATTCACCATTCGCCATGTTATAAATAACATCACTTTAATAGTGCGCTATAAACATGTGCACTGTTGCCGAGCAACCCGAGTGTCATAGCAGAGGAACTGAGTCGGGCAGTTTACTTCTACATACCGTGTATCCTCCAGTAAACGTTGTATTTCGTCTTTGTATGCTTTCATTTGTAATTTGGCCAAGAAGCTTTACTTCAACATCAGGTATATTGGTGATATGATGGTCAAATAGCCGCTTCTCTGCCACTGTTTGCCGCATGAACTAGTAATATAAGAGGCCAGTGAAACCGCCTCATCCGTTTTCATATTTAGATCTAAACTCAGGGGCAAAATAATATATACTGAGTTTTTTTTATGGACCGTTGATATATTTTATTTTGTCTATTTAAACATCGTTCATTTCTGCAACAGTTTGTTGAAAGTAATTTGTAGGTTGAGTAATTTTGTGTAAAAAATGATTGGTTCAATGAAAAAGGGGGTGAGAAAAAGATTTGCAAATACTTGACCCATACGATGTTTGAAATGTTGTAAATGTGTGCCGAAAAATCCAAATATATTGATTTTTAAAAGTTTTAAATCAAAGTATATTTTACAAATTAAAAGCATGCAGAAGTATTCTGTGAGTGGTGATTAAGCACAAGTATTGTTCATTTTTTGGATATAATATCTTAAGATATTTTCAATTGAAAATCAAAATATGATAGAATCAACAGAGAGGTACACTTTCGTTTGTTCCTCAGTTTATGCAGGAAGACTCGGAGTGCCAAGACTGTGTGACAAAAGGAATGACTTCTACTTTCCAATAGACAAGTTTTCTTATATGTGGAGCAATATTCAAGCAGCCCTGGCCTTTGGTGTCTACATTTTACAACTGTTTAGGTACAATCGAGCATGCCCTTTCTACGCAGACTACAAAGTCTCTTGCTTAAAAGTTGATCAAGGTTACAAAATGCAAGGCCTCGGTAAAGATTTCCAAAGGTTTTAAGGTAGACATGTGGAGGACATTACAACATTTGACGCCCCAGTGACAGAATTTAAAAAATCTGACGCAATTACCTATGTTCACGTGTACCTTATGTTACAGTGTTTTTTCAGGTTAACAATTGACTTGTCTCTGCATGTGTTTGTGACGGGTGCCACCGGTTGGTCAGGATACGCTCACCTATTCGACTAAAAACCTGGTATCATCACTATTTAATAGTGATTTATAGACAAATACTTGTGATATAGTCGGAATCGTACAATGGACAGTGATTTCTTGTGATAATGAAAGCTTTATATTAACATGAGGACAAACATGTCCATGCCTGGCTATAGTTGAAGTCATTATGTATCACCTTGTATCAGATTTAACATTGTCAAAGGTCAAATTGCATTATTCATAGATAGCTTTTGAAATTAATCACCTTTACATTTGTTCTAAAAGTTGGTTCCAATTTTCTGATTTGCTAGCCCATAAAGTGATAGAAGTAATGTAGTCCTTCCGAACTAGCCTGGATTCGTGGGGTTTATTTTGGGCTGGACTAACGAGTCTATGCATAGTTCAATCAAAATCGCCTAACGAAATCGACATCCGGTTCGTCAACTGCAGGTCGACTGCAGGATTTGTAAAGCATTTATAGCACCAACTCTGCGTCAGCAGATATTTTCCAAAACTGTACATGTTTCTAATCATCAAGGTGCTCGCGTGTTTTGACCCGCTTTATTACAATATAGATCTTGATTATCCATCTGATCGCCATGACTGGGCGCTGCCATTTTGTTTGAAGCAAATGCAAGTGATATGAGAGATGGACAGTTTTATTTGCATGAAGGCCACCAAACCCATAGTACAATAATGTTTACAAGTACCATTTTACAGAGAGTTCTTTTCTAAGGGAAGATAAACAGGTGAAGATACAATTCATGAACATGGCAAAGTTTAACATGACATTAACATTTGTTGTCTGGCATATTCTTTGTAATGAATAATAGTTACTTACAGATTTGGGAATTAAATATTTCCGCTCATTATCGTAGAGCACATAGTGGTATATAGCATGTGATTCGTCTTCAATTACATTACAATGCTTGCACAAAGCATTGTGGTCATCACGGGTTACTAAACCTCTACGAACCAACTGGATACCAAGGGTGTTATGACCACTTCTAAATTTAGTTAGCAGTCGTTTATACTCACAAATATTAGTATTTAAAAGATAATGTTCACAAGTTAAATTCAACTTATGAGACTTCAAATGTGGTATCTAGCGATGCATGCCATTCTTGAATTGTGCAGTCATAAACTCTTTCACTAAATTTATAAACATAATAGAATGGATACCTACTTGGGTGCATTTGTAATATTGAGAGATGGAATCTGATTGGTCAATAGAAGGGACATAACTCGTAATAGCCAGCGGGGGCGCTACGATCGAGCTCGGGAATACCAGCCTATTTCAGCTGTGTGTGTGTGTGTGTGTCTGTGTCTGTGTCTGTGTGTCTGTGTCTGTGTGTCTGTGTGTGTGTCTGTGTGTCCGGACTAATGCCGATTTTAAAGTGCTACCTCAATGAGATACCATGCCGCAGCTTAACATGAATACCCCACTCAATACTGACACCGAGTGCAAGTCCTTGTTTAAGCCCCTTAATGCCGAGCGCCAGACAGGGCCATCATTTCTTTTGGTGTGACGCAGCCGGCGAAACCCCGACTTTTCACTCTCCAGGCGGACGCTCTACCACTAGGCCACGGAGGCGGTCTAATACAGGGTATAACATGTTACGACTTACATTAATTGTTGTGAGTCTTTCATCGAATCACAAGTTATGGCGTCAGTCTGTTATTTTGCCACAGTGCCTGTTACAATGCCAAAGCCGTAGCCTGAATGAGCGACTGATTGCACCAAATGCCATCTCACGTATCATTCCTAGAGTCGGGGCTACCTTCAGTGCTTTGGGCATTGAAATACTTTTTATCAGTCCAAATAACAGTGATTCTGGCCGCGTCATACCTTGCGACGTTAAAAGATCGGACTTGGTGTTACACTTCCTGGCGCTCGGCATTAAGGGGGTAAAACAGGGAATGTCCCTTCAACAAAGCGATCTTAGCGCTAAGCCGATCGTAACTCACATACTTTAACATAGACTTACGACAATCGTAGCGCTAAGATCGACTAGTCGGCTGGTCGGCTCGCATGGAAAAAACCGGCAAACACACATACATACACACACACGAACGAAAGCACGCACGGACGCCCACAGCCTTAAGTGACACATCTCGAAGATTAAACCCTTCAGCATGGAGCTGACAAGATCTTAATCGGGGAGAACTTTGCATTTGAACTCATGAAAAGTAAATCATGTCATGGCTTAGGGACGCAACTCTGATCAGCGAATTACGGCGTACGTTTTACATGAAGTAGACACATTTATATAGCATTGCTTTATTCCATTTTCCAATCAGAAGGGCGATTATTTCTATACCATTTGAGCCAACATAAATTATCACATACATTAATGTTTATCACAGCTTATATTATGTAAACAGCCAAACAGTCTCACATATGACTAAAACAGTATATATCATGACCTGTAATCAACTTAAAACACAATATCACAGATGTTTCGTAAAAATCACATATTACAGCGTACGATATAGTCTCTTGAGAGTAAAAAGTACAAATAATTCTCTTGAGAGTACAACGTACAATATAGTCTCTTGAGAATACATCGTACAATAGATTCTCTTGAGAGTACAACGTGCAATATAGTCTCTTTATGGTAGAACGTACAATATAGTCTCTTGAGGGTAGAACGTGCAATATAGTCTCTTGAGGGTAGAACGTGCAATATAGTCTCTTGAGAATACGACGTACAATATAGTCTCTTGAGGGTACAACGTACAATATAGTCTCTTGAGGGTAGAACGTACAATATAGTCTCTTGAGAATACAACGTACAATATAGTCTCTTGAGAGTACAACGTACAATATATTCTCTAGAGAGTACAACGTACAGCATAGTCTCTTGATAGTACAACGTACAACATAGTCTCTTGAGAGTACAGCGTACAATATAGTCTCTTGACAGTACAACGTACAAAATGTACAATATAGTCTCTTGAGAGTACAACGTACAATATATTCTCTAGAGAGCACAACGTGCAATATATTCTCTAGAGAATACAACGTACAATATATTCTCCAGAGTACAACGTACAATATATTCTCTAGAAAGTACAACGTGCAATATATTCTCTAGAGAATACAACGTACAATATATTCTCCAGAGTACAACGTACAATATATTCTCTAGAGAGTACAACGTGCAATATATTCTCTAGAGAATACAACGTACAATATAGTCTCTTGAGGGTACAACGCACAACAGAGCTTCTTGGGAGTACAACGTACAATATAGTCTCTTGAGAATACCACGTACACTATAGTCTCTTGAGAGTACAACGTACAATAAAGTCTCTTGAGAGTACAACGTACAATAAAGTCTCTTGAGAGTACAACGTACAATATAGTCTCTTGAGAGTACAACGTGCAATTATAATCTCTTGAGAGTACAACGTACAATATATTCTCTTGAGAGTACAACGTACAATATATTCTCCAGAGTACAACGCACAATATATTCTTTATAGAATGCAACGAACAATATATTCTCTAAAGGGTACACCGTACAATATATTCTCTATAGAATGCAACGTACAATATATTCTCCAGTGAGTACATCGTACGACATATTCTCCAGAGAGTACACCGCACAATATAGTCTCTAGAGAGTACAAGGTGCAATCTTTTCTCTAATGCGTGTAACGTTGAGCTGTTTCTAATCAAACAGCGCATGATTGAGAGTTGTCGGAACTTCACGGTCAAAGTAATTTACACAGTAATTATTGTTCAGTACACACACTCGTGCACCCGAGCGGTACATTGTCAGTGAGACCACGCTTCATATAAAACTAGTACGTACAGCTGCTTTCAACATGGGTTTTGTACATGTTTCGCTCTGCATACACATATATGTACATCTGTCGCTTGTGTATTTGTTTTTTATCGTACTGTCTGTATAGATATATAAACCCTGGGGTAATTAAGATTAATTCAGCTGACAGTTTGTTTGTTGTGATCTAAACTCCCTCTTCGTTTTCAAACGAGTTTGGAATTTATATCCCACACAGAAAACATTCAGCAGTCTGTTACACGTATCCGTTGAAGCATCAATTTCGAAAAATGTTCTCTTTCTGGTCGTCCTCCGTTCAAGCATGACATTCTGTTGACAGCAATTGGGTCTTTATCAAAATTTGTACCCCTTTTGGTCCTGTTGAATAACAAATAAAACTGAAAAATCAAACTTTTAGTGATTTAACAAGAAACATCTAAACTTAACACACAGTTGGGTAAATTATGACAACAAAAAGAAACACAATTTTATGATTAATATAAGGAATGAAAGTAAAGTGCTATTTCAATCTTTATGAAAGATTACTGACATAAAAAAGGTACTTATTTTGATAATGATCCAATTACAGATCCTTTTATACTGGCGAATATGGTGCACCAGTAAGTCAAAGTATTATAACCTTCATCATGGAAATTAGGTTTGAGGAAAAACAGATAATTTGCATGACTAATGTTATATACACCACAGCTATTGACGGTCGGACACAGGTGTTGAAGCAATAACAATAACTTCTGATGTAGTTTCCCTGATGCTAAACTACTAACACGAGAAACAGTTGATATACTCAACCATTCAACCACCACCATACCCCCGGGAGTGGACAAACTGGCTGGGGGTGGTATCACCATGGTAACCACAAGAAGTCAACTGAGGTCGCCCGATCTGCAATAACGCTACAAAAGGGGGGGGGGGGGAGATTTATGTTGCTCATATGCAGTAGAACAGGATATAGCGAACAAACGGATACAACGAACTGTTAAAAAATCCGCGAATATCATATAAAATTTACGTTTATAACGAACTCTCTAAAGCCAACTTAGGGATACAGCGAACTGATATCTGATCACCGACAAGCCCATCTGCAATGTGTATAGCACTGATGACAATGGTTAGTTTTAATCTGCGGCTCGTGGTTGATCTGATGTGTAAACATAACAGCATATTTGTAGATGGCAAACACCACGTTTCAGCGTTCAGTGTGAAATATCCATGAAAAGTAATTAATTTTTATATTAATTTACGATTAAGAATATTGAATGTGATGTCAGGATTTGATGATACACTCCACGAGTACACTTCAGTGAAGGTTTAAAGACTCTGTCAGTTCCACCCTTCATCTTCATTCAAGGGAACACACAGGAGGCCAGGAGAGAAGACAGTGTAACAACAACGAGCGACTGGCCAGTGGATCCACACTGAAGACGAAAAAGAAAAAAAACGATTTGATCATTTATATATACATTACATAGATGACACTGTTCAGCTGGGGTCTTAGATATAATACAACGTATGATATAGTGATTGGTGATGTACATGAAAGTGTGACGTCACATCCCTCCTTCATAGATGTGTTGGTCTGTATTAGTGTGATTTGTAAGCAGGTACGAAATTCTAGCGCTTAGTACCAAAAAAGAAACTATGCACAGGAAAACTGGATTAGACCAAAAACAAAACCTTACTGTGCCGAAAGACTGAAAAAGACTCAAGGACCAAAACACTATGATACCCGTGTCAACTACATCACCATATCAAAAAACTTCTTTTTTTTTGTTTAATTTTTTAGCCATCAGTAAACAAGGCTGTATGTTTCTCGTTGCTCCACCATTTATGCTGAGCATGAGTGAGTGAGTGAGTATGTTTTACGCCGCTTTTAGCAATATTCCAGCAATATCACGGCGGGGGACACCAGAAATGGGCTTCACACATTGTTCCCATGTCGGGAATCGAACCCGGATCTTCGGCGTGACGAGCGAACGCTTTAACCACTTGGCTACCCGACCGCCCCTATGCTGACCATGAGGGCTATGCATTCAACAACAATAAGGAAGACAAAATGTGTGTGGTCTTCAGTACAAGTATTGGTAGAGGCAACTGTGTCGAGGTGTGAAACTGACACAATCTATGTTGTTACTGAGTGAGCTAGATCAGGAAACCAGAGATGGCATTGTATTTTGGGGCTACTCTATGAAACTGTTTAGGGTACACTCGTATTAAATGAGCAAAATGAATTGTTAATTGTCGTTTAGTGTCTCCATTAGCTGACTGCTGGGTGTATATCATGAAACAACATTCGTCAGTACTATCGTATCAAGCTGCTTACCTTATTATCTGGCAGAACAAGATCCCCTGTTCTTGTCGTTGTAGGCGGTGGTGTTGTCGTCGAGGTAGATGTGATGGGAAGTATAGACGTACCAGGCGGATTGGTCACCGGAGGCCCAGTTGTTGGCCAATTCGAAATCGTTGTTCCCGAAGGCGTTATAGGAGACGAAACTGTTGATCCAGGAGATCCTGGGTCCGAATCAGTTGACCCGAAAGAAGCGCCTGAAGACGAGGCTGTTGATCCGGAAGTTGCGCCTGAAGACGAAGCTGTTGATTCAGAAGGAGCGCCTGAAGACGAAGCTGTTGATTCAGAAGGTGCGCCTGAAGACGAGACTGTTGATTCGGAAGGAAGGCCTGAAGACCAAACTGTTGATCCCGAGGTTGCAACCGAAGACGAGGCTGTTGATCCGGAAGGAGCTCCTGAAGTCGAAGCTGTTGAACCAGTAGGAGCGCCTGAAGACCAAACTGTTGATCCGGAAGGAGCGCCTGAAGACCAAACTGTTGATCCCGAGGTTTCGCCTGAAGACGAGGCTGTTAATCCAGTGGTAGCGCCTGACGTCGAAGCTGTTGAACCAGTAGGAGCGCGTGAGGACGAGGCTGTTGATCCGGTTAGAGCACCTGAAGACGAGGCTGTTGATTCGGAAGGAGCGCCCGAAGACCAAACTGTTGATCCGGAAGGAGCGCCTGAAGACGAGGCTGTTGATCCGGAAGGAACATCTGAAGACCAAACTGTTGATTCGGAAGGAGGGCCTGAAGACCAAACTGTCGTTCCGGAGGTTGCGCCTGGAGACGAGGCTGTTGGTCCAGAAGGAGCGCCTGAAGACGAAGCTGTTGATTCAGAAGGTGCGCCTGAAGACGAGACTGTTGATTCGGAAGGAGGGCCTGAAGACCAAACTGTTGTTCCGGAGGTTGCGCCTGAAGACGAGGCTGTTGATCCAGAAGGAGCGCCTGAAGACGAAGCTGTTGATTCAGAAGGTGCGCCTGAAGACGAGACTGTTGATTCGGAAGAAGCGCCTGAAGACCAAACTATTGATCCCGAGGTTGCAACTGAAGACGAGGCTGTTGATCCGGAAGGAGCTCCTGAAGTCGAAGCTGTTGAACCAGTAGGATCGCCTGAAGACCAAACTATTGATCCGGAAGGAGCGCCTGAAGACCAAACTGTTGATCCCGAGGTTTCGCCTGAAGACGAGGCTGTTGATCCAGTGGTAGCGCCTGACGTCAAAGCTGTTGAACCAGAAGGAGCGCCTGAGGACGAGGCTGTTGATCCGGTTAGAGCGCCTGAAGACGAGGCTGTTGAACCAGTAGGAGCTCCTGAAGACGAGGCTGTTGATCCGAAAGGAGAGTCTGAAGACCAAACTGTTGATTCGGAAGGAGCGCCTGAAGACCAAACTGTTGATCCTAAGGTTGCGCCTGAAGACGAGGCTGTTGATCCGGAAGGAGCATCTGAAGACCAAACTGTTGATTCGGAAGGAGCACCTGAAGACCCAACTGTTGATCCCGAGGTTGCGCCTGAAGACGAAGCTGTTGAACCAGTAGGAGCACCTGAAGACGAGGCTGTTGTTCCGGAAGGAGAGTCTGAAGACCAAAATGTTGATTCGGAAGGAGCGCCTGAAGACCAAACTGTTGATCCCGTGGTTTCGCCTGAAGACGAGGCTGTTGATCCAGAAGGAGCTCCAGAAGGCGAGGCTGTTGATCCGGAAGGAGCTCCAGAAGGCGAGGCTGTTGATCCCGAGGTTGCGCCTGAAGACGAGGTTGTTGATCCGGAAGGCGCGCCTGAAGACGTAGTTGTTGATCCGGAGGTGGCGCCTGAAGACGTGGCTGTTGATCCAGTAGGAGCGCCTGAAGACGAAGCTGTTGAACCAGTAGGAGCTCCTGAAGACGAGGCTGTTGATCCGGAAGGAGCGCCTGAAGACCAAACTGTTGATCCGGAGGTTGCGCCTGAAGACGAGGCTGTTGATCCGGAAGGGGCTCCTGAAGGCGAGGCTGTTGATCCCAAGGTTGCGCCTGAAGACGAGGTTGTTGATCCGGAAGGAGCGCCTGAAGACCAAACTGTTGATCCGGAGGTTGCGCCTGAAGACGAGGCTGTTGATCCGGAAGGGGCTCCTGAAGGCGAGGCTGTTGATCCCAAGGTTGCGCCTGAAGACGAGGTTGTTGATCCGGAAGGAGCGCCTGAAGACCAAACTGTTGATCCGGAAGGAGCGCCTGAAGACGTAGTTGTTGATCCGGAGGTGGCGCCTGAAGACGAGGCTGTTGATTCAGTAGGAGCGCCTGAAGACCAAACTGTTGATCCGGAAGGAGCTCCTGAAGACGTAGTTGTTGATCCGGAGGTTGCGCCTGAAGACGAGGCTGTTGATCCGGAAGGAGCGCCTGAAGACGAGGCTGTTGATCCGGAAGGAGAGTCTGAAGACCAAACTGTTGATCCCGAGGTTGCGCTTGAAGACGTGGCTGTTGATCCGGAAGGAGCTCCTGAAGACGAGGCTGTTGAACCAGTAGGAGCGCCTGAAGACGAGGCTGTTGATCCGGAAGGAGCGCCTGAAGACGAGGCTGTTGATCCGGAAGGAGAGTCTGAAGACCAAACTGTTGATCCGGAGGTTGCGCCTGAAGACGAGGCTGTTGATCCGGAAGGAGCGCCTGAAGACGAGGCTGTTGATCCGGAAGGAGAGTCTGAAGACCAAACTGTTGATCCCGAGGTTGCGCCTAAAGACGTGGCTATTGATCCGGAAGGAGCTCCTGAAGACGAGGCTGTTGATTCGGAAGGAGGGCTTGAAGACCAAACTGTTGATCCCGAGGCTGCGCCTGAAGACGAGGCTGTTGGTCCGGATGGAGAGTCTGAGGACCAAACTGTTGATTCGGAAGGAGGGCCTGAAGACGAGGCTGTTGATCCAGAAGGAGCGCCCGAAGACGAGACTGTTGATTCGGAAGGAGCTCCTGAAGACGAGGCTGTTGATACGGAAGGAGCTCCTGAAGACGAGGCTGTTGACCCCGAGGTTGCGCCTGAAGACGAAGTTGTTGATCCGGAAGGCGCTCCTGAAGACCAAGCTGTAGATCCGGAAGGAGCACCTGAGGACGAGGCTGTTGATCCAGAAGGGGCGCCTGAAGGCCAAAGTGTTGATTCGGAGGTTGCGCCTGAAGACCAAACTGTTGATCCGGAAGGAGCACCTGAAGACGAGGCTGTTGATCCGGAAGGAGCTCCTGAAGACGAGGCTGTTGATCCAGAAGGAACGCCTGAGGACGATACTGTTGATCCAGAAGGAGCACCTGAAGACGAGGCTGTTGATCCGGAAGGAGCACCTGAAGACGAGGCTGTTGATGCTGTAGGAGCTCCTGAAGACGAGGCTGTTGATCCAGTAGGAGCTCCTGAAGATGTGACTGTTGATCCAGTAGGATCGCCTGATGATGGAAGTGATGAGGACATTGTTCCTGTAGTACTTTCTAAAGACGATACTGATATTGCCGTAGCCGATTCTGAAGATGAAAAAACTCCAGAAGACAAGGATGCAGACTGACTGTACGTTGACTGGTCTGTAGTAGAAAAATCACGTGTTGACCACTCCGTACTACTGGACCAGCCAGAAGTGGTACCGAGGGAAGGGCTCGTTGAAGTCACGTCCTCTGTGCTTACAACAAAGCCTGTGACGGCCCGTTTCCTCCGACGTAGCAATTCATCAAACGATCCACTTTCTGATTCCCCTTGTTGAAAATGGTTGCTACTGACCCCAGTACATATAAAACCGCCTCTGTGGTTGTCAAGAAGCGCTACAAATGAACAAATTCACACAGCATGGTTTATTACAATACATATTTTTCGCATAACATGCACGTATATAACATAATTACTCCTATTCAACCGGTGTAATAAATACCCTAAAAACACACGCAGAATGATATTACAACATGAACAAATTATGTCTTTGAAAGGCATTTAGAAGTGATTCACATAAGGAAGAGAATATATGGAAGTCAACTTCTTTATTATGAGGAACACAACGTTTCGGAGTATATGCTTACTCCTTCATCAGGTTGTGCCCTTTGTTATTTTCCACCTTTTGTTATGATAATAATTTTGTTGTCCTTACATGTACATATATATGCTCTCTGCCTCATGGCATTCATTCACCTGATGAAGGAGTAAGTATATACTCCGAAACATTGTGTTCCTCATAATAAAGAAGTTGACATCCATATATTCTCTTCCTTATGAACAAAGTATGTTATGGAAAAAAGTAAAACCGCTGATTGTATCTGATTATCAACTGGAAACATTATTGTTTTAAAACTCAAGTATTCTTTATTATCTAAAATAATAATATTTCGAAGTAGAAACGGAGATTATACCAACGCATTGTTTCATTTCTCTTCTGTAAAACACACACCACTGCAATGTTGGCGATAGTCTTTCACATTCTTTTTACTTGTAACCTTTGTTCCTAACACACAATGAGATCTTGATCTTCCTCACGCAAACCTAACTGCTACCTCGCCGGCCACTTACATACTTAACGTATTATAGCCAATCTCAACGTCGAAGTCATGTGACAATAATTGCTTGTTATGGTGGACGTCAGCCAAAACATTAAATATGTCAAAATGAAACTGCTTCATATACTCACCAAACATACAAAACACAATGGTTACTTTCCCAACCATCATCTGAGTAATTCTGAAAAAAATATTTAGAATAAAATGAATTATTACCAACATATTTAAATGTTTGATCGCTGTTGAAAATAATAACTTAAACATACTGGAAAATTAAGGGACCGACTTCTAAGGCATAAGCTAAAAAGAAAAGAAATAGTCTTCCACACAAATATGTTGCAAGATGCTGTTGATATAGAAATATTTAGGCCTATAGTTATAATTAAAAAATATTTGGCTTTGCAGTGGTATCTTTAAAAATATCTAATCTCTATAAAGAAAACTCCCACCCAAGAATATCAATGAGTCTGTCACCATTATGAACATACGAGAAATGTCGGACTAAAAATATTACTAAACATATTAAAATATGGCTTTTATGTATTCCATGTATGAAGCATTCAGCATTTCAAGGTTATATATCAATACTCACACTGAAGTCTATCTGCTTTCGCAATAGGAGTCCAAACAGAAGCTGACAACACGTGTGTGACTCCCCTCACTGTCCTCTCTCTCTCTCTCTCTCTAATGATTTGTACACCTTGGCACTCACTTGTGTTTCGTACAGTTCCGGAGAGGTCAGAGCGTTCTGTGGCCGGGAAGCGGTGTGGCTGGATCTCTTCAGTTATGAATATGACATCGATACCAGCAGTTTAAAGGTATACAAACCTCTCCTCAGTGACGTCCTGGTGTTAATTGTGCTGACAGGACAATATTTTAATACTGTTTGTTTCTGCTGCAGTGAATAATCAAGATTTGGATATTGCCATTTCTTATTCGTGGCAGCATGTAGGTATTCTAATGTTGGAAATTTTGACAATGAACTGGTAGCTAAGGTATTGGTCATATGTTATGGGGTGGGGGTGGGGGATGTCATATTTGCCGAACTCCCACATATTGTGATAAATTTTTGCTGTCATATTTTCTCATCTTCATTACCCCTCTCTTAATCCCACCCCACTCCACCTATAATAAATTAACAGTCCTTAAGTCCTTTTCAATAAAGTGGATGATTTCACTCGGAATCTTAACATTGTTTCACAATAGTGTGCAAGGTGTATGGAGTGTCAGTTTACAGCGAAGTCAAGTTTACATTATCAGTAATAGTCGTTTTTACCGCCTCCCTTTTACCATTAACATCGTAAATATTTGAGGAGCCACTCTCGACCCTACAAAAACCACCACTCGTCCCAGCCCTTCTCACTCAGCGAGTGTAATGCTCGTCCTGATTGGCTGATTGGCTGGTTACCTTATATGACAATGGAGGGTCCGACACTACTAGGGCATAGGATCAGCTTTTTTATGTTTCTGTAGTTCTCGAAAGGATGATTGCTCGTGTATGTCAAATCGTTGAGTTTTACGATGTGTTCGATTCTCCTTCAGAACAGTGTCTTGTCCCCAATACCACTTGATTATAAGAATAACGGTGTCATAGTTTGCGTGAGATGACCCTCAACCCGGTGGCCTCCTGACACTAACACTCCTGAACGTTACCCTGACGGGAATGGCTTACGGGGACGACCATTTGGTAGTGTTGGGAGGGGTTGTAAACAAGAATAATTAAAAGTCATTTGTTGTCAGGTTTTTTCGAAAAGAATATGGGCACATGCGCACAAACACGTGCACACACGCTCGGTCACACTCATACGCACACACACGAACGCACGCACGCACGCACGCACGCACGCACGCACGCACGCACACACGCCTGCTAAATATGGTTATCAACCATATTGGTTTTGGCTATGTATTTGTGTAAATGAAAGACGAGTGTTTCACAAAACAATTAAGACATTTTAACAACTAGGTACGTATATGACTTACGCCAGTCGTAGCACTAACATTGCGATTGTGGCGCTTAGACAATCTAACCACTGTGTAAGTATGTATGACTTACGGCAGCCGTATCACTAACATTGCGATTGTGGCGCTAAGACAATCTAACCACTGTGTAAGTATGTATGACTTACGACAGTCGTAGCACTAACATTGCGATTGTGGCGCTAAGACAATCTAACCACTGTGTAAGTATGTATGACTTACGGCAGCCGTATCACTAACATTGCGATTGTGGCGCTTAGACAATCTAACCACTGTGTAAGTATGTATGACTTACGACAGTCGTAGCACTAACATTGCGATTGTGGCTCTTAGACAATCTAACCACTGTGTAAGTATGTATGACTTACGACAGTCGTAGCATTAACATTGCGATTGTGACGCCAAAACAATCTAACCACTGTGTAAGTATGTATGACTTACGACAGTCGTAGCACTAACATTGCGATTGTGGCACTAAGACATTCCAACTACTGTGTTAGTGTTATGACTTAGGCCAGTCGTAGCACTAAGATTGCTCCTGTTACGAAATAGGCCTACTCCTGTGTCCACAACGTCACCTTCGACGTGTCCACGAGGCGTAAACATGTCTTTCTCCAATCAGTAACACCTAGGGGCTATTGTACAGCCAGGTGTTGGGACGTGTCAGTCAGCAAGCATATTGTCACATATTCACATTATGTTTGTGTGTACACGATCTGATCAGTATATGTCTCATCCAGCAACAAATAACGTGTCAATTGACAAACTGTATGCATACGCAATATTAATGCATAATTAAAGGTTCCATTAAAAGATGACGCCAGATGTTCTGGTCGTGCCTTAATTGTCCTGCGGGCCCCTTCGTCACTCGATTGAAACAGCGATGCATAGTTGGTTCGCGTTCAAGATTAGTGCACTTACATCGCGCCGTACATGCAAGTGTGCGCGCGTGCGTGCGTGCGTTTTGCGGTTTCGTGTCTTCTTGCAGGGCCCCTTTAGAGCCGAGTGTTTACGGATGTATTGAGAACAAGAGAACCCTCGGTCCCATTACAAGACCTCAGGTATCAGCCTGATTTGTCAGCACACACGAATGAACGCGTGAGGAATACCGCTTCATAAAGATATACATGAAACGGTTAACGCTAAAACTTTGACGTGAAACGTGTGTTATTATTATGTGATTATACCGTAAAATTGAAAGTATTTCTCATCGGTAGGAATACAGACATAGTCGCTCAAGGACACGTGTATATGGCCTTCAGTTATACCAGTTATACGCTATAAGGAAGCGGTGACTTCTAGTGACTTCGTGCTAGGTTGACGTTTCTTATGGTAAGGGTTTGCAGTGACTAAACGTGTAAACTAAACACTCACACTCTCTCTCTCTCACTCTCTCTCTCTCTCTCTCTCTCTCCCTCTCTCTCTCTCACACACACTCACACGCACACACACGCACACATACACTCACACACTCACACACACATACAAACACTCACTCACACATACACTCACACGCTCACAATCACACACATACACACACACACATACACACACACACACACACACACTCACGCCGATCCCAATTGGGTGGATCGATGCTCATGATGTCAATCATTGGATGGGTCTGGTCCAGACTCGATTATGTACAGACCGGCGTCGTATAGCTGGGATATTGCTGCATACACTCACACACTCACACACTCACTCACACACTCACACACTCACACACACTCACTGACAGTTAAAGTAGAACACAGTCTAATGCTCATCGTAGTAATCGAGGGTTCATTCCGAATGATAAAGAATACAACGACAAGCTTTGATGAGCGTCACCGGATGTGTGTACACATACGTTATGTCGTGTTAGTTATAACACTAGTGTCGTGTGCAGAACTGGAAATCCACTGTGACGTATTAGGTCACGTGTTGCTTTAGGTCTTCTAGTTTGGGGACATCGCTCGATGGTTTCCTTTCACACAGCTTGCAGCAGCATGCCTATTCACTTGGAGCATCCTCTGTAGGGCGTGTCCTTTCTCCTACATAACGT